CCCTGCATTTTTTCGATATAATTTAGCTGTGTAAAACGGGCACTTGTCCGACGAGGCCGCGGCCACCATATTTTAAACACAAAACTCCTATCACACCAAACAATAACACCTGTCTTAGACGGCCACCTTAGTGACTCCATTACGTTTTGTCATAAATCATGCATTGGCCCCTTGCGTTGTGGGCGAGCCTTCATAATCCTATCACCTGTCATCGCAGATAGGTAGTCCCTCCAACATATCATGTTGCGTAGGCCCCTACCACTGCTGACGAATAGGTACACAAATTTTCAGCTGCTGGTGACGTGGCGTGTGATCCCTCAAAACCCATAAGCCCCGCTCAGAACTCATACACAAATCGTAAATGAGATGAGTGGTCACTGTTTACGCAGTTGGTAACAAAGTAACAATGGACGTCAACATTAACTATGAACTTGTGACAGGAGCGTGTGTTTGTTTTACCAAATTACCATAGCACTCGGTTCTCTTTCTCGTCTGACTCAATTTCGTTTTATTGTCACCCTTGCACAAAATCATGAACAAAAGAAAAAAACTCAGCGAAAACAACAACAACAACAATAACAACAAAGACAATGCGGCTACCTTCGGTTGGGACCTCAGAAAGGAATGGTTCATTTTCTTCATTTCGATCAGTCCCACCTGTCTTATACGGCCAATTTTCTCCTTGACAATAAACAATGGGTGGCCGCCTTACACAGGTTTGGCTGTATATAATATATAACATATATATAATATATATAATATATATATACACCTTGGACTACTTTAATCGAATGGGCACAACTCTAGCCTGTGTAGGAAGCTATACTTACTGACACATCATAAATGGTTTTTTAAAAAGTAGCATCCCTATACCATAAATGATTAGCACAGCATCAATACTGAAAGTCTGATACAAGCTGGATCGTTTGGAATTTCTCCCCAAACGGAAAAAGCCTGGCTAGCCCTACCTAACCCATCATAGGCCTACAAACAATCTTCCTGAAGTAGTAGGTCTACTCTTGGGGCTGGGGTCAAAACTGGAGATTACCAAACAGTTAGATATATCTAAGTTTGAAGTGAGAACCAGTCCCTGTGATTAAATTACTGTGAGTCGTGTTTTTAAAAAGTGTAGCGTAGGCCTATGAAGGCCAGCTCTGGTCCTGGAGACTGAATCTAATCTATTTACTTAAAAATTGAATCATTTAAGTTTTGGTGGGATGCTGGCTTGCTTCTATTGCATTGTTCGATCGCAAGTCCCATGATGATTTTTTTAAAAATCAAACAAAACTAAATCAGTATTTGGTAAATTTCTACTATTAGACCCACAAGCAGATGCACTGTTTTGAGGGCTAAACTACCATAATTTTTGCTGCAGAACACACATGTCGTCCCACTGAATAACGTACTATCGTAACCGCCATATCACCCGAAATCAGGTCTAAAATACAACCCGATTACAAATTTTACATTCTAAACTCGGTCAAAATCCAGATTCAATGCCTTTAATAGTCACCGAGATACACGTGACTCGTGAGGTATCGTATGCACCCTCTTGAATATATTCAGAATCACGTACCAAGGTAAGGGACGATACGCTAGCACTTGGACCGTTTCTTCCATCTCTTTAATGCTCACATTGTTACGTCATGTACTATCATAATTAACATGAATCAACCCCATAGAGTGTTATCTTAATTTACCTCACTATTAATCTATGTGATTGCTGCATTGAATTAAAAATGTTCCTGACCATAACATGCAAACTTTCTCTCTCTCTCTCTCTCCCCCTTTCCCTCTGTCTTGGCCTCTCCCTCCCCCGTCTCTCTCTCCCTTCCTCTCTCCCCCACATCTCTCTATTTCTCTTCTCTCACTCTCTCTCCTTCTCTCACAAACTTGAACAGTGACGCACATAAATGCCTCAAGATGCTTTTTTCTTACAGAAAAATAAAATGATGTAACTGTAACGTTATGGTTTGTTTTGTTTTCACGAACTATCGAAAGTGCCATATTGTGCAGCATAAGGGACTGTACTGTTACATACTTTGAATTCCCGTGACAAAAATGGTTATTTTTCGTTTTATCAAATAAATTTACTTTCAGAAACAGTGATAGAAAATAAGGCAATAAAGTCTTATAAACCAAAAATCAATAAGATATTTTGTTCCGTTCATTCACAACACGATCTTAAAAATTGTGTAAAACTTTAAACCACCGTAACTTGAAAACCGATTTTTGTCAGTTACGATAGTACGTGATTCAGGGAATGATATATATGGCCACTAAACCCTTGCAAATCAATTGTTTTTAAGTAAATATCAACCCTATTTACCAAAATATCAAATCATGGTGAAAGTGAAATGCAGCCCTGAACACCAATATGGACTTAATTTCTGTCGCAAATTAATAGTTTTTAAGACATATATTTCCGCGTTTTGGTCCGATCGGAACTGAGTCTATACTATACTTGTCTGCACAGAAATTCAAATTTTGCTATACGCACGCAATTGTGTGTTCAGTCAAACCTGTGTAAAACGGCCACTCATTGTCAAGGAGAAAAGTGGCAGTATAACACAGCCTACCGCACATATATATCAGTGCTGAGAAGACCAAACTGTCCGATGTCTAACAACAAGAACATCACAGGGACATTCAGGTCAACAACCAGAGGCTTGACCCAAAAAAACAAGCAGATAATTAGAGAACGACAACCAAACGCCATTGGCCGATATTAATAGTAACAGCCATCTTGTTTGACCTCGCAAATGGGATGCCCGCTGCGTCATCTGATCGTGATTCTATAGATCTAGGCCTAGTGATGATTTTGTGTAGCGCGCGGTTTGCACTGGCAGTTTCCAAGCTTCCCTCTTCGGTCTTTCCTAGTGGTTCCCCCAAGTCCTAGAGGAACTGCTTTTGCACCTCACAGTATCCATTCGCAAACCTTGCAGTCTCGAATTTGATCTACTTCAGGGCTCCCCTTCAGGCTAACTTAAAGAGGTTCCTTCATCCTTTGGTTTACTATCTCAAGGGATTTAAACCCTTGTTTCAGAAACTTAAAGAGTAAAAGTTATCATAATTTTAGAGTAGATTTTTTGCTTGTAAACATTAAACTCAATGCACATTCACACAGACACACACAGAAAGACTATGGCTATGATTGAATGCTAATGATTTTTAATTAACTTAAGAAATAAAAGAGTAATATTGAATAAAATTAGAATTGTGTCCATTAGCAGGGGGGGGGGGGGGGGTAGTGGTTGAGCAGTTGAGTTGGGCCTATCAAAAATAAAATAAAGTTGACAAACCAAAAGGGGTAAATTCCGACTGTAATACACCAAGAAAAATAGACCTGCCACTCTATGAAATCTAAAAGTCAGGATCTCAGTGGGGGAAAAAAATCGAGATCAACGACAAATCACTTAGGTCACAGCCAAGCTGACTTTAAAAATTTCCAGGGGTGTCCATTATTATATCCATTATATTCCCACTGCAAGAGCACGTGAGTGTGGTGTATGTGTGTGAGCGCGCACGCATGTGTGTGTGTGTGTCTGTGCGTGCCTGTGTTTATCATTATTTCTTTTTTAATCCTGAAGTATCACGTCAAGTTCTCCTAGTCCAAGTGTTTTTACACGCCCCCCTCCCCCCCGGATAAGTCCCGAAAGCCGATTCAACCGGTGCGCATGAAAATTGACCCCGTCAACGGACGATCCCCGACACACGCGGAACTCACACGTCGAAGTCCTGTCACGTGGTGCAAACGTACGATTGGGACAGTTTTACTGAAGGATCTTGATGACGAGCCCGACTAACCAGAACTCGGACAAAGCATGTTTTGGAAAAAGTAATCTTGAGAATGTCTTCAGTCGGAATGCCAAATCAATACTACTTCCATTACAGTTGAAATAACATGTGTGAGCAAAGATCCAACACAACTTTTGTTGAGTCAACTACTAACTAAATTCGACATACACATTTCGGGAAATGGTGCTCCGTGTTTCTGCAGACAAAAAGTTTAACAAGTGCTTCTCACGACAGAAAAGAAGGCAGAGTAAGATTTTAGAAAAATCCGGCAAAAAATATTGGGGTACACGCCATCAAAATCGGGTAAATCGGGATGCTTGAGATTTAGGGCAGGGATGATTCATTATTCTTCAGAGCCATCCCAGGGTTCACATTTCAGTCTTTCCACACTTTCGATGGCGGACAATTCATGGTTACTAGAGTGTTAAAGAAGGATGGGGGTAATCTCACAGCAGGGGTAAACTCAAGGCACGACACCGGCAAATGTGAGCTACCCGAATGTGGACGGA